AGCTTGTGAACTGCTGCAAGAATTGGTCCATATGCCTATCCTAGTTGTCTTTGGGAAAGAAATGCCATCATATCTATATATGGATCTCTCAGGGTCCTTGTTGCCAAGTATACACAGATCATGCAAGACCCTAAAATGTTGTGTGTGTGTCACACTTTGAGCTGGATTTCCCACTGTGTCATTGCCCTACTTTATTTCTTTAAAAGGCTTACTATGACTCACGTTCAGAACACACCCTCTTCCAGGGTTTTTTGCTGCTGCTGCTGCTGCTGTTGCTGCTGCTAAAACATCCTGAGTCTCATCGCCTTAAAGTTCTTCTTTCTTTATGGGTTTGTCATGAACCTGTGTGTAATTTTTAAAGATTTATTTGTATATCTATGGATGTGTGTGCCACGTGTATGTGTGTGCCCGTAGATGCCAGAAGATGGTGCCAGATCCACTGGACTGGAGTTACAGGAGTTTGTAAGCTGTCTGATATGGGTGTTAGCAATGAAACCCAGGTCCTCTGGAAGAGTTGTGGACGGACTTCACTTGTGATGCACGTCTCCATCTCCTGTGTGTGCTTTCTCTGAGCTGCTGGAATAGGTGCCATATGGAATGCATTCCCAGCTCTACCCTCATTTCTGAGAATGTTCATCTTCATAAGGCAGCCATGTTTGTGATTATGGCAATACCCTCTTGGCTGTAAATGGATTCCTGGCTCCAGGGAGGAGCCTGGCTCCAGGCTCACATTGATTCTGGGATTTAGATCTGATGGTGCACTGAACATTTGTATCGGGCCCAGGAGTGTGGTGGATCCAGTGCCATCAGATCAAACATGGGGAGTACTGCAGATGCAGGCTGATCACTAAGGGACTGCCGCCTTCTGCATTATATTCCCAGAGAGGAGAGGAGATAGAAGAAAAGAAGTACATAACGCCTTGGGGAATAACAAACAAAATTGGAGAGAAAAGGGAAATACCAATCTTTCACTTCTGAGATCCAAGTCATGTAAGTGTGATAGTTGGGTTACAGAATAAAATGGTAGCTTGTGAATAGCCGGCCAACACTGGGAGGAACACTGGGAGATAGAAGGAGACAGGTACTCTACTTAGGCACCTAGATTCAGCCATGGCTGTAGTTGTTTAACTCTTGCGTTTTCCGCCACTGTATTTACTATTTACTGTTGTTATTGTTGTTGCTGCTGTTGTTATATTTTGGTGGGTGTGTGGTAGGATATGAGCATGCCATAGCAAGTATATGGAAGTCAGAAGACAACTTTCAGGATTAGGTTCTCCACTTCCACCATGTGGGATCCTAAGGATGGAATTCAGATCCTCAGGCTTAACAGCACGTGACTTTACCCATCTTGGTTGTTCGGTATTCTTTGCTTAAGCTACTTTGAACTAACTGCCTAATCACCTCTGGATGTCTGTAAGAATTGCTTTTGGGTTCTGTCAATTACCAACATCTATGGTTGCTCAACTCTTTTAAATAAAATAGTAGACTATTTTTGTTTGATTTATACACAGTCTCCTGTATACTTTTAATTGCCTCCAAACTATTTACAATACTGAATGCGCGATGAGTCTTAGGGTTTCCATTGCTGTGATAAAGCATGACCAAAAGCAACTTAGGGAGGGAAGGGTTTATTTTCTCTTACAGCTCTCAAAGAAGTCCAGCCAGGAGCTCAAGTAGGAGCATGGAGGCAGAGACCCTGGAGGAATGATACTTAATGGCTTGTTCCCCATGGCTTTCTCAACTTGCTAACTTGCTTTCTTTTAATAGAAGAATTTATCAGGGACTTACAGTTTCAGAGCAAAGTTGGTTGAATCCATGAGTAGCACAGCAGTAAGCCTGATAGCAGCCAGGCAGGGATGGTGCTAGAACAGTGGCTGAGAACCTACATAAACCATTCACACCTCTGATATTAGACCCAGACACACACACACACTACTTTGGGATACTAGCACATTTGGGGCTCTGGATTTGATCTCCAGCTTTGGGGATGGACCTAGATCTGAGCCTTTTTAGAGGACTGTCAACAACAACAGAAGTGAAAACTAGCAATGGCATAGTCAAAAACCCCATTCTGAATGAGCTTTCCCAGCTAGAAGATACGATTGTTGACCAGATTCACTCCCCTAAGCTTTGTAGACACTTAGGGTAAATTTCAAATGATTCTTTAGTGTAAATTTTAATTTTTGTTCATCTCTCAATTTCACTTTTCTTCGGACTTTGTTTTCAAGGGGGGGGGGAACTTTGGTGCAAACCCTACCCTCTTGTGTCCCTCCACGTCCCCCACACTCTACTCCCCCTCCCCCTCTACTGCCCCTCTACTCCCCCTCCAGACTGCCTTTCAGGGGGCCCTCTCCTTCTCCTAGGTTGCTCTTTTGTATGTCACTCCTCAGATGCTGGATCAAACCACAAATGCCTCTGACCAACTGCCTGGACAGTGTCTGCTGACAGGATGCGCCTGCCTGGGGCTCAGACCAAAGGTGATCATGGAGACAGCATTCTCCTCTCCTAGCTCCCCCTGCTATGGGATCATGAGGCTGTGTGGGCAAAGCTGAGTTTGCCAAAGAGCAGACTAAATAAATGGACTTGCCACGTGGGAGCAAATAGGAGGTCCACTTGTGTGTTAAAGCCAACTTGACTCAAAAGGAGATTTAAAACCCCAGAGGACTGAAGAGTCAGGTGAGTGGAAAGCTGCCTTTAGCTTGAATGTAGGGCAGACTCTGCTCCTCCAAACTGAGCTCCTGAGACCTCCCGGCCTGAAAGTGTGCATCTGCATTTTCTATTTTCCCAGTGCACAGCTCCCAGAAGCCAGGTAGTAATTTTTTAAAACAGCAAGGCTTCTGAGCAGAAATATTTTTCTAAGTACAATGAAGACCTTTCAACGCTCTCCTCACTGGTAGTGATAAAAGGTCTACTTCCAGACCATGGTAATAGGCTCATGGGAACACAAGAAAAGTTCTGTGGGCCCTGAAGTTCCTTCACCCACTGACAACACAAAAGGCCTGGTAGGAGCTGGGAAGGGGACACCATCCTGCCCTTTGAAATGGAATACTTGGGCTGCCCCACCCCCCAGGACCAGCCCAAGGCAGCAGAGGCTTGATGAAGGTTGATGCTCTTATCTAAGAGAGGTCACTTTCCCAGTCATATAGGGAGACTAAGGTTCAAGTGAAATGCTTTCTGGAACAGATGTGGGCTGTGATATATGGACAAGCTGTTAACTGCTCAGTAAGCAACAGAGGCAGAACTGACTCCAGGCATCCCTTTCTCCATCTGTGGCCTCCAGGGAGGGCGACTTTGCCCTGCAGATAAACACATATTTAAGTGTCAGAACCAGGTAAAGTTAGAAGAATGTTGTAAAGTTAGAAGAATGTTTGAGATATCTTCTGTTGTCCACTTTGCAACTTTGTAACAGTATATTCAGAACAACTTACCAAATTTTTGTAATTGTTCTGCCTATCTCTAGTTGCCTCTCCATTGTTTCTACTACTGTAGGAGAAAGTTAAACAAACTCAAAAGCTTAGTTAGTGGTCCACAGTTCTGAGCGCAGCTCAGACATGCATACGTGGCTTCTTGGCTTGGGGTATCTCAAGACTAGAGCATCAGCTAGGTATAATTCTTGTCTGGAAACTTTGTGAGAAAGTCAACTTAAACTTATTCTTGAAGTCGGCTTCCTTACTGGTTGTTGGCTAGGGTTGTTCTTAGCACCTGTTCCCAGCCAGGTACCCACCTCCATCCCTAGTGATGAATCCATGAATGTACCCAGCACTTTTTAAGAGGTCACCTCACCAGGCTCACAGAGGATCATCTCTCTATCTTATGTGCCTTAAGTGCACCTGCAAAATCGCAGAACAGCACGTCTATTAGTATCTGACAGGATAATTGGTGGGCCTTTTAGGTTCTGTGTAGAGTTGTATGCTCCTTGAGGGCAAAGTTGTGCCTCATGCATCTTTGGTACCTAACAGATACTCCACAGTTGGTCACTGAACTAAACTGGCTTCAAGGAAGACAGGTGAAATCAGGAAGCTGTTTCACTGGGTGAAGTTCTAGACAAGCTAAGGAAAAGAAAAGGATCCAGACAGATGTGTTGTACAGGGTGCCTTTGGTCCTCTCACTGTCTCTTCCTTCACTCACAGCCTTCAGTTGACTAGGGGGAGCCAAGAGAATGAAAATTCTTGTCCCGGTAATTGTCAAAACAGACAACTGTAGAAGAACACCTCTGGTCTTTCCGGAATAAGACTTGGCTAGAATTCCTGCTCATTGAGGCAGAGACCTACCCCTCATGTTTACAACCCCAGCTACCAAGGCACACTTTAAAAATAACCACTGATGGATCTTTATAGAATGGATGCTATTTAATGTGTCCCTCCCAGAAGCCGAGTGTTCAGTGTAATCCATTGTGCTTGTTGGACACGCAGCATCCTGAACATTCAACAGGTGTGGTCAATGGTCAGGCTGCCTGCTTTCCCAACGAGCTAGGGATGTAGCTCAGTGGTAGTACAACTGTATAAAAAGAATACGACCCTGGTTTTAATCTCCAGGAACTCAAACCAAAACTCCCAAACCCCCTAAGCCACCCAACAAAACATTTGGCCATTCTAGGTCATACAACAGAAATTCAAGCAGAATAATAGTGAACATATTTGTAAAAGCACTGAACCAATTCAGTCTGGAAGACACATTCAGGGTTCCTTGCAGGACCGAAAATTTTGGTTTCTGTAGATTAAAAAAGCTGTTTTCCTAGACTCTGGCGTTCAGAGCTGGATTCCGGAGCAAGCCTACCTACCACACTAGCTCCATACCGAGGGTCCAGAGCCAGCCCCGCCCCACGCCGCCACCACCTGCCGAAACGGTCGCCCCGCCCACGTCCTGACGTCACCAGGCTCGGGGCCGCGCCGGGTCTGGCTCCGAGGATTGGCCAGGGCTCGTGACGTCACGAGTCGGGGCGGCCCGGGGCTGGCGGGGCCCCCGGGTGCTTGGGTTCCTTTCAAGACGGGCGGCAGGGGTGGGGGCAGGGGCGGGGCGGAGGCGGAGCGGGCGGTGTAAACAGACCCGGGAGCCGCGAGCCCCGGAGGAGGCGCGGGCGGCGCCGCCATGGACTTCCAGCAGCTGGCAGATGTCGCGGAGAAGTGGTGTTCCAGCACGCCCTTCGAGCTCATCGCCGCCGAAGAGACCGAGCGCAGGATGGACTTCTATGCCGACCCGGGTGTATCCTTCTACGTGTTGTGTCCCGACAACGGCTGCGGTGACAGTTTTGTGAGTACCTGGGGAAAGCGAGTTCCGCTGCGCCCGAGCCCCTCCAGGGAAGTCGGGTGGGGCGGAGTGACAGCGACAGGGTGCCCGGGGCCGCGGAGCCGATGTGTGGCGACCTCCCGGACCACCCTGTGCCCGACGCGTGGCTCGGAGCATCCCCAGGGAGTCTCTGTGTGGCATCCGCCGGGCGGGGCGCATAGCCCCTGCGTCTATATCCAAAGTCCAGTCCGGGGAGGTGTCCTTTTCCCTCGGGATCTCAGACACAACTCTGAAGCCGCCCCTCCCGGAAGGGCCCCAGCCCCAGGCTGCGAATCCCTCGGAAGGACACAAAGCCTCTGTCTACACCCGCAGTGCTAGATCTTTTGAACCCTATTTGCGGATTTACGCCCTGAAGCTTGAAAATGTTTGCGCGTGCACACACGCGCTCGCGCTCATGAGGGGTGGGGGGCACGCCTATCCTCGGTCCCACGCTTCCCTAGCTCCTCAATGGGTAGCTAGCAAGTGTGTGTCCCTTGTGCAGGTTCTGCCCAGCCATGAGGCTGCTGTGGCCCCACCGAGGCCTTTCAGCTTTTCAGAGGAAGAACCCACACATCCCGCCCAGAAGGACCGGGACCAGAACTATGATGGCCAAACCTTCAGCCTGTGTCTCGCCCACTGGTGATCCTGGCTCTGGCAGTTTAGGAAGGGGATGCAGAGAGCACGCGGTTGTGATGAGAAGCGTGGAGGCAGGGCGGGGAAGGCGGGGAAGGCGCGCCATGGAGTGTTTGTAAGCACTATAAATAATAGTCCCCAAATGTAAGATGGAGGCAGCTGGGAATGAGGGTTATCTTGTGGTCGCTGGCCTGAGGCTGGAGCAGGCGCTGCTGCTGCTGCTTCTGCCGAGAAAGATGGGGCGGTGCATTAACTGGCTTGGCTCATCAGGTGGAGTGACAAAGCTGGGCATGGACCACGTGCCCGGTGCACCTCATCCTTGGGAAGTTCAGCCTAGGATCCGTGAGACCCTATCTCAAAAATAAAAAATAAATCATAAATCTCACCTATAGAATAGTTCACAGTCAAAACAGGGAGAACTTTCTCAAACCCGGACAAGTGTAGGCTGGTGCACACCTGACCAGTATGCTCCTGGCTTTGGGTGGCACCTAGATTGGAGTTCTGTCCCCTTGTCTTCTCTTAAGTTGCCTATCTACAAAATTAGTTTCCTAGTACCAGTTCTCTGGCGATCGTTTAGGCATATCTAGTAGTCTGATGCACAACGTGTCCTACAAATTTAAAGTTTAGAGACCAGGTGTTCAACACACGCTTTGGTTAAAAGCCTTACCTGGAACTGAGGCTGTAGCTCAGTTGTAGAGTTCTTATGTAGCTTGTGTAAAGCCCTGGGTTGGATCCCCAGCACTGCACAAGCAGAGGTGGGGTGCACGTGGGGGGTGATCCCCACACTTAGAAGGTGGAAGCAGAGGGTGGAAATCCAAGGTCTCTGAAAGCTACCTAGAGAGTTCCAAGTCAACCTAGGATCCTGAGACTCTCTTCAAAAATAATCCCTCACCACAGAAGGGTGTTCACTGTGGAGTCAGATAAGTTGTTGATTCACGTAAGCGCATATCATGTTCTTAACATGAGCAAAGTGTTGGCTGACCCTCTGAAGGAGGGGATGAGGAAGAGAGAAGATAATTCCTTGGGCACTAGCACTTTCTCAAAGTTTCTGGGGACAAGTTGCCAACCACAGGTGTTTTCTTAGACATATTGTTCCTCTAACCCATACCGGGCTGGGTGTGATAAGTACCTACCTCTTGGGTCTTGTCATTTTTCTGTTAAAGCATTTGAAGAAATTTGAATTAAGTGGTATCTCTGCTATTTGAAGATTTTGGTAACAGTAAGAATGTTACGTAGCATCTCTCCACGTACAGCATTTCAGATCATTGAAAAACTTACAAACACTTGTAAGGGTTTGGTCTTCCCCGGGTCAGGGCTATCCAACATACAAATGGCCTTGTGGCTGTCAGGACGTTTAGCTAGCTCAGAAGTCATGTGTCAGCCCTGCTTCTGCTCAGACACTCAAACTCGCACTTCTGCCTGTGGGCTTGGAGACAACACGCAGCCCGCTCTGCCACTCAGACAGCTGTGAGCTCCTGTTACGTCACTTCCAGGGACACCCTGTAGTCAGTGCCTGGCAGGGCTACTGGAGAGCACATCTGCTTATGCTCAGTGCTCTTATCTGGAAGCCTGCTTACCGTGATCACTGTGAAAGTTACTGCCATCCTTATGATAGGGCCTGGCCCCAGTTCTAAAGCCCTCCTACCCTCTCTCCCCACTTCCGGGGTCCAGATCGTCAGGGTTGTCCCAGCATCCTGGGGAAAGTGTATGCAGTCCCCTCTCGTTCCCTCTGTAATTACAAAGGCACTTGGGGATGGGCCCTCACATGTTTTGTCCACCAGCGTCTCTCTAAAGTGTCTAAATTATGATCTGGAGCTGGGCGTGGTGGTGGTAAGCCCAGCACTCAGAAGGCAGAGGTGTGTGGGGTGTCCTCAGGCCTTTACATGACCTGTCTCCTGGCATTTCTAAATTCCTATAACACAGGCACTTCCTGCCTCAGGGCAGTGAGACCTGGGTATCTTACTCTTCACTGCTAAGGTTATAAGTTTTTACATGGGTACTGGAGATCTGAACTCAGTTCCTTGTGCTTGTGCAGCAAGCACTTTACCCACTGATCCATCTGCTCATTCCTAAAAGATGACTTCTTATTGGGCCTCACACATTTTCTATGAGGTAGATGTTAGACCCATTTTATAGGTGAAGAAACTGAGGCTTAGTGTGTAAGAGACTCTGATAGCCCTCACTGAAGAATGGCCTGTGGTAGCTCCAGAGGCCCAAGGACAGAGATGCTTTTCATTGCCACACCCCTGGGCAGCTCGTTGTTGTCTTCTCATTTCACAGGCCACTTGCCAATGTACCCTCTTCTACCAACTCAGAAGGTCTTGATAGCTATCGGGCCTGAGAAGGGGAATGTGGGCAGACAGCCATTCAGGTGCCAGGTGGACAGAACTCTGTGTGTGTGTGTGTGTGTGTGTGTGTGTGTGTGAGCATGTGTGTGTGTGTGTGTGAGCATGTGTGTGTGTGTGTGTGTGTAAGCTTGTGTGTGTGCGCGCGCACGCTCGCACATGAGTGCGCGCGTGCATGCGCATGAGCAACTATGCAGGTGTGTATCCAGTTGGCTGCTCCCCTCCCTTGTCCACTAATTGAGGAGTGCCCACTTTCACCTAGATTAGAAATTACTGATTGTGGGGGGCTGGAGAGATGGCTCAGCAGTTAAGAGCACTGACTACTCTTCCAGAGGACCTGGGTTCAAATCCCAGCACCCACATGGCAGCTCACAACTGTCTGTAACTCCAGTGTCTGACACACATGTGAGCAAAATACCAATGTACATAAAATAATAATAATAATAATAAAAGAATGGTAGATGGTACCTTTAAAAAGGTCACTGATTGTATGGAGGGCCCTGTTTACCTAGCGGTGCCAGCTTTTCTGACAACCCATCAGAAACACATTTGGGTCCATGTTTATTGCAGTCTCATCCCCCACCCCTCAAACCCAAGCAAAAAGAAGTCACATTATTAAAGAAACAGTACTCACGGAGGGACTCTGTGGCCAATTCTTAAGTGTATGTCTACATAGCTCTAACGTGTGAGCACGTCTCTTCGGTGTATTTAAATGGAACTGCATTGTGATTCTGTGACAGTGTGAAGGAAAAAAAGCTTCTCTTTCCCTGCTACTTTTGGTTTCCCCGTTCACAGAGTAGGATGACCATACGATAAGCCATTAGCACTGTGAGCACTGTATGAGGAGTCATATGCACAGTAGCACTGCCTGATTCACAGAGTTATTTCAAGGAAGATCAAAGCCACTTGTATATTCAGCTAATCATAAAGAGGGTAAAGTTGGGGTGTTATGAGTCCAAACAATGGGGAGCAAGCAGTTACTGATTATCTGCTAGATAGGCCGTTTGCAGGCCGACACCTATGATCTTCAGATCCCTTCTGGTATAACTGTCGTCAGTGACTGACTATGGCTGAGCTAAGACCCGGTTAAGCAGCTTGCACAGAGTCAGTTGAGGGTGTGCATGCAGAAACTCTGTGGGGTGCCCTATGCCTTCTGCTGCCCAGTTACTTAAGCTTTTGAGCCTCAGTTTCTTCCCCAACGCAAGGCTGCCTTAGTTTTGGCTAACCATGCTATGTGTGCAAGTAGTTTGGTGTCACAAGGTGGCTCGTGGGTTTTGTGTCCTGCCTGCTCTGAGGACAGACATCAGTTTAGATTAAGGAATACCAATTAAAACTAGAGCCAGAAGCAAGTTCCAGGACAACTAAGGCTGTTACACAGAGAAACCCTGTCTAAAAAACAAAACCCAACACCCTCATCCCCCTCCCCCCAAAAGAGCAAGAATCGAATATTAGATCATCCATGGGGAAATTGGTTTTAGGACCTATCTCAGATTCCCAAATCTGAGGCTGCTCAGAGCTGTTATGTGAAATGACACATTTACACAAAACCTACACACATTTCCCTGTATGCCTTAACTGTCTTCCTCAGGATGCTCAGAATAGTGGGAATGTGAAGTGGGAGTGCATTGTTCTATACTCTTCAGGAACAATGCCAGACAAATGTGCATGTTCAGTACAGATGCTGTTTCCCCTTCCGATAATCCCCGCCCTAGTTAGGTCACACACACCTGGCTCAGAACCTGTGACTGACTACAGGAGGCTGGTTACATGACAATGAGAAAGTTCAGGGCACAGGTGTTCAGAAAGTCAGGGGTGTGCTCCAAACTGTCTTGACCTCATGAGCTCATAGCAGAAAGTCTAGTGGCATCCCTCTCAACCCCTCCCAGGACAAGAAGAACTCAGCAGGATTGAGTTATCTTGCTGATCTAATGTCAGGTTTTGATGACCAGGGCCTGTCATCTCTATATAGAAAGTGGAACATGCTCCCTTCCTGTTGAGGGTGACTGCTTGTGCTGTCTCAGCTGGGTGAGGTCAGGCCGGATGTAACAGGAAGAAGATCCATAGTGTGGTGGTGGCACCACAGATGGCCTGTGATGACACAGTGTTCACATCGGGCATTTGCTGTGGGAGAGGCAGGCCACTTGGGGTGTGGGTTATGGACCAACTTCACTGCAGCTTATGGCTGTGGTCAGTATTGGAACTGCCTGAGTTCTCCATAAAAAATAGTGAAATGCAGCCCACCTCCTGTCAGACACGCTGGGAGGTGGGCCTGGAAATGTGCACTGTAACAAGCTTCCAAAGCTTGAGAACCCCTGCTCCATTTCACTTCTGGCCTCCTCCTTGGCATCTTCTGCCATCCCAGGAGGCCTACAGCCCACTGGACCCATGGGCTCCAAGCACCGGCTGTACCCGGGAGCAGCTAGGATTCTTCCGTCTGACACTCCCAGCTGAGCTATTTCTACGGCTGCGGCCAGCTTCTCCGGTCCCTGCTGGAGTTTTTCCCTGGCTAGGGTGGTGCTCGGTTATATGTGCCTGAAACGTTTTCCCAGGACTCTGGGCTTCAGCCACCCACCCATTTGTCTTTGTATGAAAGAACTTCAGACCCTGCTCGCAGTCTCTGCCCTCTAGCCTGACTGCTTGCTGTCTCTCATCACCCTTGGTTTTATGTTTCTTTCCTTGTTATTATTTTTCTTTTGTCCACTCCCCCCCCACACACACACACATAAACACACTTCATACTTATGGCTCAGGTCATCTCGTCTTATATTCCAACACTGCTAGATACCTTAGGTTTTGGAAAGAAAAAGTTTAAATAAATGAAATCTTTTTTATTTTTAAAGACAGTAGATATAAGATGATTAGCAGTTAGTAAATGGTGTTGTCATGTCCCCACTTAGACCCCAGCTGTGTCAGAAGACTCCACAGCTCCTGCAGTGAGGAAGAGGGTGATGAGATACACTCATGGGGTGGCAAACTGGACTTCCTAGGGTGACGCCCTGCTTATGTACATGAATTAGGAGCAGGCAGGTGGTGGGTGTTGCGTGGACCCCTTCGGTCCCTTCTCTAACTAGGTCTTGTCTCTTACTGCCTAGCCTCGGCATCTCCTCCAGTCCACCAAACATGGTTGACACCCTCGAGTCAGACCCTTGGGCTATCCTGTGTCCCTGGCTGGTTGGCCCTGCAGAAATAGGGCTTCTCCATCCAGACCTCACCAGCCTGTTTCTCCAGCTTATTCTAGATCTTTGACCATTATGGGGAAAACTCGCTTTAGTTTTAAAGACATGCTAAGATGGATTTCCTCACATAGAGAAATGTTCCCCAGCCCCAGGAACAACATTAAACCTAAATGCAGGCTGCTCTCCACATGCACTAGGCTGACTCGGTGATAACTCGGGTAGGATGCCCACCTAATGCGCCCTGAGGGACAACTGGCTTCCCAGTGACTTGGTGCTGACGTTTCAATTTCTCACAAGTTTGTTCCATTCTGAAGAAATTTACCAGCACCCCCTTTCAACACCCCTGCAGAGGGAACACCTTGTTCCAAATTCATGATTACTAACTATGGTTAATTAATTCTTCAGCTGTAGCTGAAGGCAAAGTAAAGAAATTTGAAGGCCAAGGCTCTGGTTTCTCCTCCCTCCTCTTTTAAAATGACCCCCATGCACCTGTTGGAGACAGTGAGCCGGGGTGATGTCTGCCTCCTGCTCTCTAGTTACCTGGGAGCAGATGGCAAACAGAGCAGCTAGGACTGGGAACAGGAAGCTTGAGAGCGTCCTATGGACTGGACGTTTTCTGATCCCTTACCCTGCAAAGAAATGAAGAACGAGTGGGTGGGTTTCACTCTGTAACAGGCTGACTGTGCATGCGTGATTCTTTAGAACTCTAGAGTAATGGCGTGTGTTCTCCGTTTCTTCCTTGCCCTTGCGGGGCCGCAGCACGTGTGGAGTGAGAGCGAAGACTGCCTGCCCTTCTTGCAGCTAGCACAGGATTACATCTCGTCGTGCGGCAAGAAGACGCTCCATGAAGTCTTGGAAAAAGTCTTCAAGTCCTTCAGACCTGTAGGTGCTGCCTGCCTGGCTTCTGAAGCCGCCCTGTAACCCCGTAACGGCACCTCCATAGCAGAGATGGTGGGAAAGGGGGCAAACCCAGGGTGACTGTTTTTCTCTTGTCTGCTGGGCCCTGCAGTATAAAGACAGCGGCCGAGGTGGGATGTGACAGGCTGTTTGGTGCGGGAATGGTGGCTATTTCTAGCATCACTTGAGTTGAGAGGTACTGGCAGGGTGAAAGCAAGCAGGGCCTTTTCTACACAATGAAGTAATCCATTTCTCACCCAGCAAACTCCAAATCCTCCTGGAAGTAGTGTGGTTTTTAGCTGGTTGGTTTTCTCCTAGTGGTGCTTGCATCAGGGACATGACCGGAAATCTAGATAAAGCTTGTCCACATTTGTGCCTGTGGGAAAGGGTGGCGTTGGATATTGACTCTTTACTTGTCTCCATTCTCAAAAGTACTTGCATAAAACTTGCCTCCTGGTGGTCTGCATCCCTCATAGCTAATGCCGCATGAAGTGACTGACCGTGCATCCTTAGCTTGGTGATTCCTTTCTTCCCTCTCTCTCCCAGAGCTATCCATAACATCATGATATGCCCTAGTGTGCTTCCCTGCCCACTGTGAATATATTCCATGCAATCGGTACTGTGCTGTGGAATGTCTGTTTCTACTTCTCTACCAAACATTTCAAGCTTGTTTTCTGGTCCAGGGAGGTCGGTTGCATAACAGCATTTCTGACATCTCAAGGTTAGTAAGCGTTTGGAGTCTTCCATGCCTCCTGGCTGGCACTGGTGGTATCCAGCGGTTGTGTGTGGCATTTTCTAAATGCAGGTTCGTGGTTAGGAATAAATTGAGGCCCAAGATGACAGTACCTTCCAGAAAGGACTTTTGTTGGCCCTGCCGGGACTTGAGAGCCCTGTCAGCCTGCGGTTCTTGATTTGCAGTTTCCCAGGCACTCTAGGTGACATAAAGACGGGCTGCAGATCTTGTCTCTTTAGCTCATCTTTGTTCCAGGAGTGTGGGCCTTTGCAAGAGTTGGGGTGGCTCCAGGCTAAAGTGGGGACCCTGCTGAAGTCTGTTCCCAGAGAGGGCCCTCGGCTTTGACTCCCTTCTTCATAGTTCTTAGAACAGTCTAAAAATACAATATACTTTCTTGCTTTCCCAGTCAGATTAGGCAAACCTCTTTGGCTTCCAAGTCCTCACCCTACAGAAGAGGCTATTTCCATATGAAATGCTTGAAAATGTCTTAGCTGTTCTCAGTAGAAGCATTGGCTCTAAATTACTCAGTCGACCATTATGAGAAATGGAATTTCAGTGGCTTTCATCACATTCTCTTATTCCAGCTATTCATCTGGCCTTCTATTATTTTCCTTGCTAATTTTCTGAGCCCCTTTGGCTTTAAAGGGCCCATGTGTCCCATTCGGGTCTGCTGTCAGCGTGTGGTGAATGACCACCAAGCCATTGGAACCATTTCCTGCTCTGGTCCTAGCACAGGGATCAGGTGGTGGACACCAGAGGCCAAAAAGAGTTTGTGATCTCCTAGGAGAAGACAAGGTAAGCAAGTACAACCCAGTGTGTCCACAGCAGGTGCCAAGTAGGCAGGAAGTCAACCAAGAATGGGGGTAAGAAGTGTTACCCTGAAATTATTGGGAGAGATCTAGGAGTCTTCAGTGAGAAGGCTATTTTGGAGTCAGCAATGATCATAAGGAGAGCCAATGAGGATGGGCTGAGGTGTCCAGGCACAAAGACTAGCAGGTCTGACAGCCTAAGGGCAGGAGATTGCCCATGTGCCTGATATAGGAGGTATCTATGTAGCTACAGAGGTTTGGAGTCGGGGACCAGAGCGCAGTGAGAGGGGAGTCCAGAAGGACATCCGGTCTCATAGGTGTGGAAGGACTTGGCTTTACCGGTCATGGAGAGCTGGAAGAGATTAGGGCAGGTGGGCCATGATGATGTCCTGTTTTGAGAGTTTCCCTCTCACTAGAGTGCTCAGACTGACCGTCAGCAGCGAGAACCAGCGCCATCTTCCAGGCAGATGTGAGGCCAGCTCAAAAAGAGCAAGAGTGGACCGAGAGCCTGGGATGCGGGAGATGCCTGGAAAGTAGGCCCAGCTGGCCTCGCTGCTGGAGTGAAGTAGAGTGTGAGAAAACGAGAGAAAGGTGGGATCTGGGTTTCCTGGGCGTGCAGTGAAGGAAATTCGCAGTGGCAGACTGGGGCTGGGAGAGCTGCAGGGGGAAACGCAGGGGCCTGGTGCTGGTAGAATGCAGCCTGGGGAGTCAGTGGGGAAACCTGCTTTTTTGTCTCCCTGCGTTCACCTCTGTATAGAGCTTTGGGCTTAGAAAGATGGGACAGGCAGGGTCTGGCTGCTGCTGTCCTAGTTGAGAGTGCCCAGCGGAGAAGATTTTCTCCAGTTTGGAGGGATTGTGAGCCAGGAAGCCCGTGCTGCCTTCCCCCTGCATCTGCCCTGCGTGCTGGCATCCCCCAAAATAACGCTTTCCCCTGTGCCTTGAGATACTGCATTGTAGGGTGCACATGTGGGACTTTAAAATGGCAGTGTGCACCCCTCCGGCCATGGTTGTTTTCACAAGGTCACCTGCCACTGCTCTGTGCAATCTCTCCGCGGAGAGAAGGCCTCGTCTCTCGGTAGCCTTCCGCTGTCCCAAGGGCCTCAGCCAGCCCCTGTTTGCTTGACCTTGCTAAAGCTGGTCACAAGGCAGCCGTGGCCTGAGGAGCAGAATCACCTCAAGGCACGCCTGGAGCTGTGTCTGTGGACTGTCCTTCCTTCCTCTCACAGGCGCTCCCTGCTCTAAAGTACCACAGAGCCTCACTCCACACACTGAAATCACACACACTAAAGCGCCATTGGAGCTCCGAAGAAAAGGTTACTCTTCATTCTTTTTTTTCTCCTTTCTGCCATCCTATTCTTCCCCCCCCCCCAATTCATCATATTTCCCACAAAGTGTACTAGTCATTTCTAGCCAGAGCCTTGTAAAGGACAGCAAAGCATGCTTGGCTTTTGTCATCTGAACACTGATTAGGAGCAGCAATGTCCACAGAACGTGGGGAAGCCAGGGTAAAAGCAGGGCCTGTGTTGGATCCGGCATCCTGTGAGATGCTGGGCAGAGAGCCAGCAGAGGCGCCCTCTCCCTGTCCACTCATTCCACTCTGTGGGTTGTGGGGGGAATATTCCGGAGAGGTTGTTTGTCTCATGTATTTCAACCTGCTTGTGCAGGCTCCTTGGGTTCAGACTCCAGACCCTTGCTGGCTGAGCGCATTACTCAATTTAACCTGTTTCTCGGGTTCTCCGTTTGTAGGTAAGGACACGTAATGAAGGTCCAAGCTGTTTAATCTTCACAGCAACAACAGCAGTGAAGATTAAATGGCACAGTTTGGCTGGGGGTGATGTCTGTGCATAGTGGGCACCAAACCAGATGATACTGTCAGTGTGTACAGGATGAAGACACCACACAAAACGTGGGTACAAAGAGACAGTAAGGTCTAGATGTGGTGAATCTAGGGGTTTGGTAGTGAAAAAAAATGTTTGTTTGTTTTGCTAAGTGATCTCAACACATTTAACCAAAATATATGGCTAGGTAAGGACTTTTCAAAGGTAATGGAGGGGTCAAGAAAAAGATTATCAACACTAGATTTTGCAAAGTAATAAACTCACCGAAGACCAAATCCATACATGGTAGGTGACAGGCTGTAAAGGAGATAGAGAAATAAATGTCCACTAGGAGGCATGTGCTGAAGAGCTTCCAGATGGTGGGTGATTTTTATTTTCTTCTTTTCTCTATTCTGTAAGTTTTCTATCACAGACACATAATCCGAAAGTATATACTTTTAAAAAGCTGCATTACTTACATGTGTCAGAAATGCTGGAAGTTAGGGAGGGACTCGCTGAGGGTCGGGACACCAGGCGGTGCTTTCCCTACAGAGATTCTGCTAGACACAATGAGCAGGAGGAGAGCTGACCCCTGTGGGTCCTCAGAAATACCCCAGGTAGGATAGACTGCCCTATCCCTTGCTATGTGGCTTCCTGCAGTTTTCTTAACCTCTGTGTTCCCATCTTTAAAACCAGGCCAGCTTTTATGTCACTGTCCTGTGGGTCCATGGGGGATGTCTAAAGCGGACTGTCAAAGTGCAGCTGCCCTGGGATAGGGATGTGGTCACCAATGCAACTGTCCATCTTTTCCCCTCAAGCGACCCCTATTTCTCTCCATTGGAGGAGCCCCCAGCCTCATGAAGGAGGGCATCCGGCCCGATTCTTTCCTCCTCACTATTAGCACATCAGGTAGCACATGAATGCAAGTGACATTGCCACTCACTGTAGCACTGCTCTGGTAATGACTTCAGAGTCTGCCAGCAAATGTGGACTGTCATTTTTCTGTCTTAAGTGACTCTCAGGTGACACTCGCTGGCCATCGCACGTAGACCTAGATAGTGGGCCAGTGATATCGGTCCTCACTACTGGTGACTGTGGCCGCCACTTGTGACTGTTTTATTTGATGGCGAATGTCGGATTTGACTGCTGGTAAACAAGCAGAGCAGGAGAGGAGAGGTGGCCTTCCTGTGCCAGATTCTCCCCCATGTTACACGAGCATGAAGGATCGCTTCCCTTCCTCCCCTCTCTCCTTCATGGAGGTTGGTGCTGTAGCTGTGCCTGTGGCAGTGGTGAATGCTGTTTTGGCTGATGTTACCGTGACAGCCCAGCCTGGCATTAGTTCCTGTTTCTTTTCTCAAGAAAAAGCTCCTACCAGAAGAACACTCTTGAGTATGGACATGGGCCTGAGGGAGGCTAGTGTTTTTAGGTTGCAGCCAGTGGTCCAGGGAGCCAGGATTTCCACACAAGAAAATCCTTCATGACCCTGACCAGTGCAATTTTTGCTTCTGCTCCTACCATCTGGTTAGTAGCCTTGAAGAGATGCAGGAACCTACTGGTGCTGAGCTTGCCTGAGTGTGACAGAAAGTCTAAGGAAAACATTGCCCATGTAGATATGAATGAATGACAATAAATATTAGAAATTTAACTCTTCCATATCTTTTGTTTTCTGCTCATATTGTGGACATTCAAACCTCGTCATTTTTTAGTCAGGCTGTGGTAGTGCCTGACTTCAATACCAATATTCAGGAGGCAGAAACAGGTCTAATAGAGCAAATTCCAGAACAGTCAGGCTATACAGAGAAAACCTGTCTCAACAAACCAAAATCAAACAAACAACAACAAAAATCCCTTGTCAGGTTTAGGAAGGACAATGTCCCCTATAACAGTGCATCTGCCACTCTTACCCATTTGACTCCTACCTCATCTTGCAACTACCTCTCCATCCTAATATAGAAAAGACTTATTGAAACTCAGCACGAGTTTTAGGATAAACAGTTTCAAATCCTCCAAATGCTTTAGCCAGTCTTGCTGCCTATTGTAGGGCTTCTGAGCCCCCTTAGAGCAAATTAGAAATGCAGGGATCCCTTGGGCTCATTGAGTCAGGATCTGCATTGTAGATAGTGTTCTTGTTGACCCAGAGACACAGTTATGTGTGGGACACGCTGATTCTCCCTTGGAAGAAGGGATGCCTGAAGCACCAAGGGCTTACTATACACATCAAAGCCGAGGCTGATCCAGGATGCTCTAGAAGCCACATACGCCTTCTCTTCCAGCATAAAACACCAACCCAAATTACCTGATGTGTGCCCTTTCAGGGTGCCACAGCCAGCCACATCCTCCAAGTGATTTGCACCTTTGACCACAGGGCCTGAAATCAGTCCCACAGGTGACCAGGGCCTTGAGAGCTTTAATCCTCAAGTGTTGGTAGTTCTTCCTTTCCAGTAGAGGCCTGTGTGCCCTGGTGGGCCTAGCAATCTGTAATTGTGGACTGTTCTGAGGGAGTTTTGTGGTCAGCAAGGCCTGGCAATGCCAGTGTGTTCCTGTACATGATGAGCAGGAACTTGTTTGAGTCCCAGGCTGCTGAAAAAAAAAATCACCGAACTAGGATTGCACAGTTATAACTGTCAAGAACCATTTAGACATACTGGCCTGTCAGATGGGATTTGGCTGTTTCCATTGTCTCGTAAGAACAAGTGGGTAAGGGCTCCCGCTCTTTACCAGGCTGTTGGTCATCCACCTCTGATTTGGACCCTCCACCACCCGTGGCATGTGACTGGCGCTGGATTGTCCCATATCTGTATGATGCTTCTGGAACTCCACGCTGGTAGCTTGCCGTGCTGCATGTACTTCCAGGTTGTCATAACAGAAACACCAGTCACATACATTTCCCACTGGGGTTACCTTATGAAAACATGCATTTGCCAGTAGAAAACATGGAAACTTCCAAGTGCCAGGCACAGCATTGACAGGCATCTTTACAGTAGCCAGCCTGGTGGGTAAGTGTGGGGAGCCTTCAGTCTAGTCACTAGAGTTTGAGTGCTGGCTCTGCCATGTCTTAGGTGACTCTGGATAGTCTCACAGTGTCTTGAGAATCACATGGAAAGTTTGAGATAGCAACAGGCACACACAGTTTTCATTCATTCTGAAATGTGGCGGACTTGCTTGTCTCATTGGAGTGCTAAGTGCAAATCCAAGATTGGAATGCAGAGGCTAATGGGAGCATTCCTTTCTTCCTGCTCCCAGAGAGTGCTCACTCATGCAAGGACTCCTAGAGCCAGCAGTGTTTGTAGAACCCATACCAGGGAACCTTAGAAATCCGAAACCACTGTGAATGGCATCTTCTCTTCTCCACTCTGGAACTGCAAGGGCTGATCAGCCCCACATAGCAGGAAGATGCTTCCTGTCTCCAGGATGCTTCCCGCCTCCCTTCAGGCCGGTTCTCTAGAGCTAAAACCATGTGATTTGATCTCATGTGCAAGAGAGGAGACCTGAGCAGGGGGAGAGGTGTGGTTTGTGCCCGTCAGCCTTCTGGGTCTACTTCAGCAAGGCATGCTGAGTCCACGAGGCGACTGAGAGCTACTTATGGCCTGGGTTAGGGTGAGTAACCAAGTGTCCAGTGAGGAAGAATCATTGTGGATACATGTATGTACAAACATGCCTCGGCTGTATCATGCTTACCCAGGAATGTCATGGCTAACTACAGCTTCCCACTGAGCCTCAGAGTCCTCTGCACCCAGCACTTCCACTGGCCAGACGCTATCTCAGATTCACTAAGAGGGACGGACAGATGCATTGGCCATTTTGCAGTTAGTGATCTTGCATCCTTTTCTGCTGCAGTCGAGCTGATGTTGAAGCTCTGAGCGCTGCTGCAGCAGTCCCGCTGCGCCAGATACCACCGCGTTCCTGTCACTTGACACTTCCCCTTTGCTGTGTCATCAGCAGCTCCTCTAAAAACCAACCGCAAGCACAGCAACGGTCTGCCCTCCCTGTGACTAGCCATCTTCCCTCTCTGGAGGTAGTTCGTACTTAGAATATTTGTGGAATATAGATGAAAAGGAAACTGGAAAAATGGCTTAGAGCATTTGTTGCTCTTTCAAGGGACCCAAGTTTGATTCCTAGAACGAATACAGTAGTTCACAACCATCCTTAATTCCAGTTCAGGGGGTCTGGTGCTTTATTCTGGTGTCTGTGGGCACATAGTGCACATACATACTGGCAAAATAGTCATATACATAAAATAAATGTAAAAACATCTTTAAAGGTGAAATGCAAAAAAGTTGTCCACAATCCCAGTCTTACAGAAACTCTTTATACCCCCACACACAAGTGCGCATGTGCACGCACGTGCACATGCACACTAAATGTTTACAAAAATAGAAAGGGCCAGTGAGATGGCTTTCTGGGTTGCAGCACTTGTGGCCAAGTCTGAGGGCCTGAGTTCTAGGCTTCACATGTTGAGAAGAGAACCAATTCATGCAAATTGTCCCATGACCAGACACATGTTGTGTCACAAGTACATGCATGCAAACACACAAAATAGATAAATGTAAAATTTTAAAGAAAACTCAATATGTGACTATATTTAATTAGTCTTTTTCCATGTGCATCCATATGAATTTTAAGGAAATTTGTATCATAATAAACATGTAATTAATGTGCCTCATATTACTAAATAATTTAAAATTCAATTTTAAGTATATGTAAGCTTCTGTCTTACACGCCATAAGGTGTAACCCTTTGCTACAGAACATCCTAGTTGTCTTAGCATTTTTATCTATGTGCTACTGTTAATAAATGACACCTTGTGTTTGGGGGGAGAACATAAAGCCGAGGGTTGATTTGGGGACACTTTGAAGGGACATCAGTACTGCTCATGGCGTGATTCTCCAACACTGCAGTGTTTCGGGGCCTGTGCTTTGGCATTTAAGAAAGCCTCTCAGAGGCAGCCAATGAAACTGATAACCTATGAAGACCCCATGTGTCTTCTACGAAATTTGTAAAGGCTGTGGGGTGGGGGGGAGTTGGGTTCAGGGATGCACTGGCTGTGTTCAACAGCTTAATTTGGGTGCAGTGTCTTTGGTCGTGTGCCTGAAGTCTGGGCAATGCTTACAGCTGTTACTTTTCTTGTCCAATTCTTTCTCCGTAGCTGCTGGGGCTTCCAGATGCAGATGATGATGCGTTTGAAGAGTACAGTGCAGATGTGGAGGAGGAGGAGCCAGAGGCAGACCACCCCCAAATGGGGGTCAGTCAGCAATAAACTCCTAGGTCACCTTCCAGAAGGGGATGAAGCCCTGAGCTGCCGATGGAGTCCTGTGCTCCTGAGGTAGCCTTTTGTATTAGCTCTTCAAGACAGGACATCGGGCTCCTGACATCCACCTGCAAATGAAATACCTTTTAAATGACCACACAATGTCTGTGATGAGCTTCGCTCAGAAGTGATCAGAATCTCTGCCCCACTTTGACGGGGTTTCTGTGGAAGTGTCTTGGTAGCCTTTGTCACTTTGAGGTTAGAGCCTATGTTGTGGCTGCCTGTTCCCTCTTGAGTTTATGTTGGAGAATTAATGTTTGCTGATTGGGATGTAGAGAACGCTGAATGTATTAGGGATGTGTTTTGAGTCCTCCCAGGTGACCTTGCTGAGGAAAAGCATGACCGAGGAGAAATGCAGCCTGCACTTTTCATGTATCTTTTTTACGTGTTCATAAGTGAAAGGTGTGGCTTAGAAAGCATGAGTTTTAATATCTAGTTGTGAACTGCGCACGTGCAGATGCAGAGGACGAGGGTGGCTGAGACTCCTCGGAGTCCTGTAGCTGCCGAATTGGTTACCTGGGCATGCAGCAGCCAGCCACTGGTTAGTGTAAATGTTTTGTGGTTGTTCGGTCATGTTAAACCATGCTAATTCCAAAGCCACTTTTAAATTCTAATAGTGGAAAGTATAGGTGGTGTGTAAGATATAAATTATTGATTCCTTTGAGCTGTTTCTAACCCTGCATATGAAGTGAAATCTCTGTGATGAGACGGCCACGCGTTAAATCATGAAAACAACCAGAATCCGAGCAAGTGTCCCTTAGGCTTTGAAGCCACCGATGAAATCTAATAAGAAAATAAACCAGGACAAAAAAAAATAATATAATGAAATCCTGCACTTTTCTAATCTTTTATTCTTTAGAGAATGACAAGAAAAGTCTCCCACTGAGTTAATTTATTTAAACTTATAATTAAATACTCCAGGGAACCTACATGCAGTGAAATTTTTAAGTGACATGAAAGTGGGAATCTTAGAGGATTTCTTTCTTGGTTGAAAGAGGATGTTTTTAATGATTAGGACACACAGACAGCTCCCAGAAGCAACTGCTGTCATTTCTTAGCCAGTAAATATTTACCAGGACATTCTCCAATGTCATTGAAAGACCCTTATGTGTCTCGGGTTCTCACATCTTAGGATGCAAGAGTCCCCTTACTGCAATTGATTCCTCCAATCACACACACACACACACACACACACACACACACACACACACACACACAGAGCTGTAGCAGAAGCTTGTGTTTGTGGCAGCCATGTCTGGGCACTTTCTGCCTAACCCAGTGGTACTGTGAAGGGTCCCGCTGCTTCTTGGTACACTGTAGAGTTCAGTTCCTGGGTGATGTCACATCGTGGTTTCCATCAGTGCTTTTGTACCTGTGGTTGTTTTTCTGGAGGAAACTTATTAATGGTTAATTTCAAGCTGTGTTACTTCCCTTGAAGTAGCCCATTAGTAAGTCAGACTTAATGTTCCTTCCTGTGCTCCCCCCCGGCCCTGTCTGCTCAGAGCCTGAAGACTGAACTCTCTGTCTTGTAGATATGGTCCAGGTAACTTCCTTTTAAACATGATAGGCCACACAAATAAATGGCTTTTGTAGGTAAAATGAAGATACCCGAGCAGTTTGCTCCATTATGAGATAATCTGGAATTTTATACAGAGGTTTCAAATCTAAATTTACATGTGTTTAAACATTAATATAAAATGGGTTTTTATCAAAAACATATTTAAACTTTGACCAAATATACTTGGTATTCTCATATTGGTGTTCTCTATTTCTACAAGTTAAGACACCCCCCCCCAGTGGTGCAATGGGCTGCTGAAAACTCTGGTCTTTCTTCTGCCCAGGGGTCAGGAAGAAAGACCATCCCTGGATGTGGCTGATTTCCATGACAAAACCCCCAGCATCAGCAAATCCATGGTCCTTGCAAACATCCTCTGCTGTCCTGCATATCCCTTCCAGTGGGCACCTGTGTGTGCAAGCGTGCACACGCCCACTTCTACCCATTCTGTTGATGCTCATATCCCAGTTGGGGTTGAAAGCAGGCAGCCTGTGGTTAGTTATGGAAACAGCTCCTCAGTGAGGTGAACGTGACCCTCCCCTAGCCTACAGAGGCATTCCAGTGGCGGCCATGGAGTAAGAGGAGGCGAGGAGCTTGCTTCTGCTTTTGACTCAGCCCTTGACTGCATGACAAGGATAAGTTTGTAACTTTTCTACATAATAGAGAGGGGTACTTGTTCTTGTAGCTCTAAACACCATCCTGATGCGGCTGCCGTAGGAAGTGTGTGAGCAAAAGAACATCAGTCCAGGACAGTGAGGGGCATGGGAGGAAAATAATTTGGAATTTCACCAAAGATGATGCCCTTAAGATACTGGCCATGCCACTACCTTAGAATATGGTGGCAGCGGGTGTCCAGATCCTGGGAGCCTGGTGTGGACTCCATCCCAGGCAACCTGATGAAATTCTGTTGCTTTGATAAGTGGGTAACCAGAGCCCCTGAAGACGGTTTGTCTCTGCTGAACCTGCTCTGCCAGGGGTGGACAAATTGCTTTTTGGTCCTACCCCCCCCCATCTGCCTCCTGAAGGCTTTGGAGGTGGTTGGCAGTTAGAGGGGGGGTTGGCATGAGGGACAGCTGGCAGTGAATGAGTGAGTGGTGAGCACTTTGCTTGTCCTGTCACTCTGGAAGAGAAAATGACAGTGGGAAGAAACAGATGAGGAAGGGCTGATTGCTTGCTGAGCCACATGACCAGCCGTGGAGTCCGAAGTATGCCGTGGCAACATTACAAAGCCGATCCTGGCACTGAGTGACCCAGGGAGACATTTTTCTCCTGTCTGCCTGATTACTTTACCCTGCCTAGTGATAGCACTAAGCAGGCTTCAGAGATCCAAGTCTAGAGCCAGGCAGGGTAGTTAAGCCCCAGGCAGTGCCCGGCACCACTTGGGTTCAGTCCCACGGAATTTGTGATTTGTAGGCCCGCTGCAGCACGTGGTACATCTTGTGTTTCCATGACTAGAGCACAAAACGTGTGCCACATGATGAGATTGTCCTTGCACGCTAGCACCAGTAACCCTGAAGCACACTGGGAGTACGGATAGACTTCTCTAGCACAATGCATGTTGAATATTGTTTCAGTTTCTCAGAGCACAAAGAGTGTGTCCAGGGTGTTGTGGTCCCAGAGCAGAATTTTTAGTTATTGCTTGTTAAAACTCACCAGCTGGGAGACAGCTTAATCCAGTCGGGTTTTCTTCAGCGAGGGGAATGTAGGAATGGACAATGTGGGTTGGGAGAAGACGAACAGGGACCATGAGAAAGTTAGGTCTCCGTCCATCTGGCTTGTAAACAAAACACAAAGCCCACACTTAGCTCCTGAGGTACAGAACAATTTGTGTTCTTGGCTCTCTCTAGAGGACTGCTTCCCTCAGAGCCTGGATGTTTAGAGGGTGCTGATGATGGTCCTGTGACTTCCACAATGCCCCCTGCCAAGCCAAAGGCAAGGCAGGTGTGCTGTACACCTGGTGGAATTCCTTCCCTTCAGATTAAAATCAGCTGCTAGCCTGAGAAGCATGCCCTTCCAGAGTGCTGGCTCCAGAGCTGCTGGAATGGCAGCTGGCGGAGCATGAGCCACACCTGCCCTCTCCACCGCTGGTGCTTCAGTTTCCAGTGAAACTCAACTAGAGGCTTTTGTCCCTAGACTTGCGGGAGAGGGCATACATAGCTTATTGCATCGTCTCCAGATGTGCATAAAATCGTTTTTGCATTAGAGAATCCTCTTTCATACAAACTTAGTGAGCTAACTTTGGTTTAATGGTAACTAGTGTGACTTGAGAAGCCGAGATTGTTTAGTTTTCATATGGAATAGGTGTTAAAACTCACCAGCATGATGGCAGCCTGTGGTCTGTGGCAATGGCCATGAGCATTTCATGTTGGAACCTGCATGCATTCGCCACACAGCAATGCTGAATAGTTCCAAGCATCTTAAAGTGTGTACCAAGCTACATAGGAATTAACATCCAGTTTGCTTAGGAGTGTGTTCATGTTGTTCGGCAGTAGGGAGAAGGCTGTCAGTGCTCGTCATAAACCTTTCCCTGGGCTTTCCTTGAGTTTTTGTTTCTTGAGATTCTATCTTAGCAGGTACCTTCTGAACTGGCCAGGACCAATGCTCTATACAAATGCCAGCTTTTCTAAAAGGCATTAAAGTAAATATTCAGTGCTGGGCAGCTCCAAACCCAGCTACAATCCAGTGTTAATTTGTGTACAAGCAAGATTGCAGCCAACTCCAGAGAAGCAAATCAGAAGGAACAAAAGCAGGGGCCCTTGTCCGGTTTTTGGGTTTTTTTGGGCTGGGAGTTTTTTTCTGTGTGATGCCTGTGTTTCCCTTGAGCTCACATTTCCTTTCAGAGAGCTCTCTTGTAAATGACAAACCGTGACATGGGTTGCCAAAAGCTGTGTCCTTTTCTTAGATGCTTCAGACAGAACTGTGTAAATTCTCTCTGCACCCTGTCCCATCTGCTCCCTCCTCCCTCCTCCCTCTTCCCTCCCATGAGAGCAAGGACCACATCCAAGGATGTAATTACCATAAGCTTGCTATTAAAGAGCCTTTCAGCCCTGGTGGTATTTGCCTTTGTTTGTTTGTTTGTTTTTTAAGCTCTTTCCAAAGATTCTGGTTACAGAGTACTATGTATGATTTATAAATGTATAACAAAGGCCGTGGGTATGGTTACATCAAAGGTATGGAAAGTTTCCAGCACCCATTTCACTCTTTGGTTCAAAGGTCAAGCTTTTCCTTCTGAATGAGGGGGGGCCTCTAAACTTGAGAGTGGCTTAGCAAGCCCAGCTTGGTGTGTGTTTGTATAATGTCACTGGGAGTCCTTGGCCAGAGATTCCAAGTCCAGAGTAAGGCTGTGTGTGAACATTCTAAACCTCTCTAGTAAGCCTGGCTCCAGAAGGGCCGTGTAGACAGATTTTTATCATGGGAAAATTCCTGCTTCTAGGACTTGCTCACACAGGCTCCCTGGCCCCTTTATGTGCAAGGACAGATACTAGCATTACTCTCCTCTCGTTGCACTTAATCTCTGAAATCATTTGGCAGGCAGAAGGTTCTGGCCCAGACAGGCCCCTGGCAGTCTTTGTGGCGCTACTCACCCCCCCCCCATCCCCTTGTTTTCCCATGGGTAAGAGTACGCATGGTGACCTCATCTTGGATTTCCTTGGGGCGGGGGACGACGACAGGTAGAGCACCTGCCCTGCTGTAGAAGGAGTGCCACAAGGTCTCATAAAGCCACAATGGCGACCTGCACTGTTACACTCTTCTCTGATTTACCTCCCATTTCCTAGGACCCCCATTTCCAAGGGAAGAGCCACAGCTGGGTATCAGCCCAAACGCCATGCTCAAAGGTGCCACGCCCTGCCCTGCCCTGCCACACATCCCTTCTCTTTCAGGGGATCTCAGAATCAAACCACAACAAAGAGGGAAGGCAGGGTTCCTTGCTTAGGGGCATAATAAACAGTCTTGTCTCCGTAGTGAAGTTGGGCAGGTGGGCTGGGTACCATAATATACCCAGGGCTTGCTGAGCACACGTAGGTGGATTCACAGCCCAGGGAAAGAAACTAACCCCACAGCCCATGTTTGGAGGTTCCAGGGCTAGGTGTCTAGTCCAGTGTCCTGATGAATTGAGTGACCAAATATTCTTCCATTTGTCAGGCTTGGGCCATTTGGGAGTTCCCAAGCAAGGCTGAAATACCTCCTGAACCAGCTGACATACATATATATATCATAATAGGCACCAACCCCCCTCTAGATCTCTGTCTCATCTCCCCCTGT